GTGTGTGTGTGTGTGTGTGTGTGTGTGTGTGTGTGTGTGTGTGTGTGCGTGCCCATTTCAGTCTCCACAGATTGCAGATACTATGAATCAGTATCCTTTCAGCAAATGACTCGCTGTGGTCCCGAGGCAACAGCCCCTCTAGATGAGGAGAGAGCAGCAAGTGATCCCCCAGGCTCTCTTTCGTGTCCAAGATGCAGTCTTCACTGTTGAATTTAATGAAGCAATAGCACCCGCAAACCCACAACGTTTAGTACAATTATTTCAGAGCCGAAGGAGGAATTAAATCCAAAATCTTTCTCAAAATTGAGAACGATTACCTAATTTGCATGCCCTTCTTGCTCAGAGGCCGGGCTAACCCTCTCTGTCAGGTTCCAGTTTTAGTATATGTGCTGCCGAAGTGAGCACATAGTCTGAAGTCTTCCCAAAGAAAACACACTGCGGGTTCTCTCTATGCATGACCCTGCAAGATCATAAACGCTTGGTGCCAGGGACTCGGGTGCAATGGAAGGAGCTGCGTGTCTGGAATCAGGAACTCAAAAACCTTGCTAGCCCTTCTGCAGCTGATTTGGGGACCTCACACGAGTCTTTTATTTTCTCTTGGCCTTCACTTGTCCATCCACTCAAAGAGCTAGAGTAGGTGAAAAACGCGTGGTGCCCCTGGCTACAGCCATGCATGGTTTAAAGAGTTTTAGACTTAGCAACTTGAAGAGTTGAGAGGGTAGAAGGTTGGATAAGGTCGTGGGATGGAAGAGAATGCTTCAGAAGAGGATTGTAGGGGTGCCTGGAGCCAAGGTACAGAGCTGGCCACATAGAGCCCGATGCTCTCGGCAGATATCACTCCTAAATTTGAACCAGACACAGTAAGAGGGATGGAAATTAAGTCTAGAGCCACTCAATATTAACACTGGAAATGACTCCTAAAATTTTTTTTGATAGTTCCTCAAACTGTTAACTAGATCAGGACTCTTGACTCTGAATTAAGGCAGTCAACTCTGAGATAAGTCAACTGATCTAGCCAACTTATTAGATGCAATGGAAGCTGTCAGAAATGGTAGCTACTGGCCAAGGTGAGCTGGAGGCTGGAGAAGTTTCTAGATATGCCCCCAAAAGCTAAGAGAAGCTTACAGCAAACACGGTCAGAACAAATCTTGTACAAGTATTTTTGCAGTTGTTGCCACGATAAACATTCTGGTGAAAAAACAAGGATGCTGAAAGTGAGAATCACTCTCTCTGTGTGTGTGTGTGTGTGTGTGTGTGTGTGTGTGTGTGTGTGTGTTAGCACAGCTGATGCAATCCCCATTGGCACAAATTAAGTTTAATTTGAGACCTGAGTTCGCTATGCAGAAGCCAGCACAATGCACTCTTCTGTACAGAAGGGTGCTTAATAATAATTTTAAAAACCTACCAAGACAGAAAAGCAAATAGAAACCACCCTGTACCTTGCCCTGTTGAAAGAGCTCTGACGTTGGAGAATCCAAACGCACAGATCACAGACTTAAATGTCTTTGAAGCCTTTGGCTTCGGTTTGAGTTTTGAGAATATGTGATAATATTTTAAGCTCACAAGGGGCTTAAAACTAAATCCCTACTAGAAAACACGGTGATTAAAAGAAAAGAAAGAAAACTATGCCTCTGACGTATTTGGCCTGACAGGAAATATAACAGTCAACTCATTACGTTGCCATTGTTCATCAAGATCCAATAAAAAATAAGTATTGTCCATCTCAACATAGCATGCTAACGAAGAGCAACTTCCAACCAGGCGCAGTTTCCCATTCCTATGTGGCATTTGTGAAGATAAAGGAGAGTTTGGGGGAGCTGTACCAAAGACCAAAACAATCTCCTGGCTCTCAGTGGCCAAGGATCAAAGATCTAACCTTGCTTGATATCCTAGAGCAAAGAATCTT